ATAATGCTACTCAAAATTGATTATCGCACGGATAATCGGTGTACATGTTAACTGACCTTCGCCCAATCTTTTCAAATAACCGACGTGATGTTTCAATAATATGATTTTTTTTCATTGTTCTAATATATGGCCAGTCCGTCCCGGTACATTTTGTTTCAATAATGCGATTGTATCAATTATCCATGTTTCTAATAAGGTGGCTTCTACTGTATCAACATTTGTTAATACATAAAAATGTATAATATGCTATACAAACGAAAATAATCTAAGCAACGCTCCTGGTGGAGGTTATACAAAACAGTACTCTAAAAACTATGTTAGTGGTATTAAAAAAATAATGTTTTTGGGCCACTGTTTTTTTTGAAGTCCAAATGGTTGCTGAGTATAAGATTAATTGGATGGGTTATACAAATAGTATAATTTTTTCCACACTATCATCATGCTATAATATAAGCAAGTGTTGACACATCTATGTAACCACATTGATTATATTTCTAGATTTAAATGTTATTTTGATTTAGAAATTCCTTTACAACTACCTTGAACAAGACTCCTCAGATTGCTAAATCCATAGCAGAATCTCTAACCAAAAATGCAACTAAAAATTCAGCATCTCCGGCTTCACAACAAGATGTTGTTAATTTGTTTTCCAAACGAGGACTCACTATTAGCACGGTAATTTAATTTTAAAAAAGGGGTGAATTTAAAAACAAATAATTTATTAGAAAATTTAATCATAACCAATTAAACATTATTAAGCAGGCGTTAAATTATTATTATGCAGATACAAAGACTAACTAACTATCTGTATATTTATAAAAATAGTGGGATACAATATATGATCTAAGACTAATTATTATGTAACAATGGAGATAATTTTGCGAAAATAGCTATGGAGATAATGAAGTTTTGGGGATAAGTGTATTAAGAACAGAGGAGAGGAGAGTAATTAGTGGACTGATAAAGAATTGAGGAGAGTGATAAAATTAGATAATATGATGGACAAGTGATCTGTGGAAAAATCTTGAGTCCGGGTGGCTTCAGTGTAAGATTTTGGTCTGGAATGAGGGTTTGACTCCAGAAATTTGGCTGGAGGTGTTTTTGAGGGTCTTATTTTTTTGAGCTCTTGGAAACTGCGCAWCCCCTGAAGTTGGCAGTGTGGCCCCCGGAACAGAGTGCACACTTGGCTGTTCTTTTCCGGTCCTTGATATGGATAGGTTACATATTGACTTCTAAAGTAGACATATTTAAGACTTTTTGTTAATCGCAACCAACTAAGAAATATTTTACCATCAAGAAAATGACAAAAATATTTTTGGCCCCTATAGGTGTATAATAACATAGCAGTATAATCATAGACTTATTACTTATACATAAATGGAACAATCTTCATGATATTAGGTTGATTGATTTCAGTCAAATTTGATATGGTATTTTGTGTATTAGTTTAGTGTGTGTTTTTAACATTTATTTTTTAAATAAATAAATWATTAGTTTGTTGTTAATTTGTTAATTTTCATTAACCATTTAAATTATTAATGGAAGATAAATAAACCTGGGCTATCATTTAGGTACTATCAACATCAACTATTAATATAATTAGTTATCACCGGAACAATAAATTACATTTTATTTAAATAATATGTTATTTTTAAATATTTCAATAGTTTTAAACATAACATAGAATATATTTTAAACATACTATAATTAATTTCAAATGTTTTAAAACAAAATGTTTAAAACTGCAAACATTTAAAAGTAATATTTATTTTTATTTTTATTTTTAATTTAACAATATTAAATTAAACAAACATTTTTTTACTTTGTCAGACCCAGTGATGTATTCATAAATTTTTYCATTATATATGCTCAGAATTGTCGTATAAGAGGAAGGGTGTAGATTTAAGGCTTAGCAGCATTTCACTACTAGACTTGACCCCCAGTGCCGTAACTAGCTTTATGTGCGCCCTTGGCAACCAATGTTATAAATTAATAATGCATTTTTAGTATTTATATGAAATAAAAATTGCGCCCCTGGCGCGATCATTTTAAACTGCGCCCTTGGCCACCGCCCACCTTGCCAATGCCTAGTTACGGCACTGTTGACCTCTCTCACTCAAAAAAAAAGATAAGTCTTGATTAACCTAAATATAATCTATGCATCAGATGGAGTTGAACTTATTTTTGTTACATAATTCTTGTCTTCATTGTTATGTATAGTGTAAAAAAGTCAGTTATTGATAACTCAATATAGTTGATGTAGTTTTAGATTTCTTTTATGTTGTTAGGGTATAACCAAGCAGACCAATATTATTTATGATGTTTTTGTTTTATATGATTGAAACACTACTTGTTTCTATGAATTATTTTAAGCTAAAATGAGTTTTAATAGAATTTGAGCAGAACCAAAGTATTTTGCGTTTAACTCAATATTACGGACTATGGTTTCAAATTATACACAATTTTCCTTAATATAATTATTGTACTAATATATTTTTTATAATTGTTTAGGTGGATAATGGAAAAAATTCAATTCTTCCTGCTGGACTTAGCTTGAACTCAGCTGTTTCCATTATACCTACATCACCTCTTAAGGTACCTAGTAATGTACCTAATAAGGTATCTAGTAGTGTATCTAATAGTGTATCTAATATGGCATCTAAACATGTACCGCCTAGGGTACCAAGTCAGGTAAATTATACTGTTTTTAATAATATATTCCAAATATTTAAAATATACTTTTTCATCATAAAAATCAGAATCATTGCTAACAAGCAGACAAGGTAATTTTTTCAAGTGTTTTGTCATTATAATACAATTCATTTTGATTGAAATATTTACCAAATTACATTGAGTATTTAAAATAAAAACCAATCTCGTAATTTAAATATAATATCTAATAGTTGCACTTATAGGTAATGTTGCATGCACATCATACATCATCGATAAATTATTTTATGTAATTTATATTGAGTTTGTTGTGGATACATGGGTTTATGTCATTGTAGATATATTGTATTATTTGTATATTATTATATATTAATTTTAGATAGTTAAAAATATTCTTAGACCAAAGTAATCTTTGAATGTAAATTATTACATTAATGTAAAACTGATGAAATATAATAATTTAAAGTMTTATTAACAACAGTTCAAATGTAGTATATCTTGCAAATATTTTATAATTTTTGTGAATATATTATTTGTATAGAAAAACTGCTATGAGATTGCATAAATTTGTATTAACATACAACTATTCTGATTTAGAGCATGGACACTGTTGATTTAACTGGTCCTGATAAACCAAAAAAGTATTATCCTTGTGAAGTATGTTCAAAAACATATACGAGTTCTGAAAAAATGTATGAACATTTATCTATTGCACATAAATCATTTCCATTTACATATAAGTAAGTAATTGTTTTTTCTTCACTAGTATTTAAAATATGAGTTTGAGTAAAAAAAAGTTGTAAAAAATAATATGTAATTTTTCCTTTTTCATAGATATTTTGTTTTGATTTTTGTACAGGTGTAACCATTGTTCATTTGGTTGTCAAACTGTTGAGGCTTGGAATCGGCATAAATCAACAAATCACAGATCAGAAATCAATAACTCATCATTAGTGATCCCCGTTGTAGACTTGAGTAGACCTGCTACTAATATGAAACTGAGAAGTTTGGGTATCACCCAGTACATATCAGTTTCCCAACTGGATAACCAAGGTGGCCAATTTGGTATACCAATCATTTCTTTTGGAAAGAAGGGCAATTTACGAGAGGCAATGAACACTTCCACCTATTTCAGTTTGGGGACACTACAGAACATACAATGAATATCAGACAAAGACTGTTTTAAAATAGCATCCATTTTGGTTGTAATTTTTGCATTTTACTCAATAATCGCAGTTTTATGCATTTTATTACAAATTTATTATGTATCAACTTATACTACTTTAATTTGGTACAATTTAAAAATGAATTTTGATTTTGTTTTTTTTTTAGACTAAATTTCTCAGTTTTAAAAGTAGTGTTTTTTTTTTTTTAAATATAATTAAATTTGTTACTCATTTTAATAAGTTCTTGTTTATTATTATTATTTTATATTTCAAAAAACTAAGCGAATTTTCAAATTCTAATTTTGACAAGCTTTTATTGCATAGATTAAAGAACTACTTCTATATAACTATAAACAATATTTGTAAATCTTTATTATTTAAGTGAGAAATTGATTTTAAAGGTCAAAACTCCAATGTTTATTTTTTATTATAACTATTTTTAATGAAATGTTAACTATTGTCATTTTTTATTTCCTGTAAACAAAATTATAATTTTTAATTAATATATTATTATACATGGCATATTCATATTTTATCCCAATGTCACATTTTTGTCATTATATTTTTAATACATGCAGTCATGTAGGTAAAAAGGGGAAAATAATAACATGTTATAAGTTATAACTCAACAAGRATGTTTTAATAAACATAATATAATCATATACCAGTGTTTTTTACTATATTCTAGCATATTTATGTTTATTTAAAAAATATTGCTAACAGTTCAAATATTTGWACTAACATGATAATAGAAAAATTRTTGATTTGATTTTAAATTTTTGAATTGGAGGAGGTTTTTGGTAGAAAATTAAATGTAGTCGGTACTTTAGAGAGGTAAAGTTTAAAAATTTCTTACACTTCTCAATTCTTAGGAAAAACAGTAATTTTTATATGAAATCGGATCTTGACAAAATCAAATTAATTTTATTTTTTTGGTTTAACTTAAAACTAACAATCGTTGGTACTTGAAATTTTCACCTTATGTTATATTAATGTTCTGTTCAATACTTTTTCAAATGTTTCAACTCTTAGCTATTTAMGGACATGCCATTTTCGGATTTATAATTTTTCTTTTAAAAACGATGAAAAAGCATGAATATTTAATAAAAGATTCCTCCTAAGTCGGTTCATACTGGAACCAAAAGTCCAAAAATGTACATATTAATATTGTATATTATACAATGTTTAACCTACCTCAATAGTTGACACTAATATTAAAATAGATTGCTAATGATAATATAGGTAAACATAATGTGCCTAAATTTGACTTGCTCGGTCACAAAGAGAACACATACGAGTAATTCGTGAACATACCAAATCCGTGGATTAATCGCTAATCTTGTTATTACAATCAAACATTGCTATTTAATACGGTTATTATCGTGTTGATTCACTAGTAAAAATCACGATAACGTACCTATGAAGTATGAATTATGACCATAGATATTAATATTTCACTTATGACGCATAACGACTGTGCTGTGTGCGGCAACCGTAAGTACGTAACTGTCATTATTTTTGTAAAACGATTTTATCGCATAAGAATTCGCTAGGTATATCCGCAAGTGTTGTTTCTGTCTTACAAATGTAAAACATTGCGAATACTGTTTTGCGCAGAAAAGAACCACTCAAGCCGTAAACCAAGTTAAGCAACCAAATGTTCACATTATAAAGAGGAGAATATTTACTGTGCAACGTTGTTTTTAATTTTTCGATACCATAAATACAAATAAACTTCTTATTGTTTATGAATTCATTGTTTTTGAGTTTTACGAACTTACATAACTTTTTTTTAGTTCTGGTATCGAAAAAATAAAAACATCGTTGCACCGTAAATATCCTCCTCTTTATAGTGTGAAAGTTTGGTTGCTTTAGTGATGGAAATAATCAAAATAATGGTATTAGTCATATTTATCAATAATTATAAAACATAATTGCCAAGGATCATTTAATTTTCATAAATATTTATCATCAATATAATAATATTCAATTTTAAATAAAATAATATATTATTTTTTCATTTGTATTACCTTATTTAAGTATGTGTATAAGTTAATATTTAGTGTTACAACTTCAGTAGGTAACTTTTAATGTATGTATTACCTTTTTTTTTTCCTGTTCAAAAACCAGGAACGGGTGGGATCTTGTTCAGCACAATACTGCCACCTAATGTATATAATATATACATTAATAATTTAAATATTAAAAGTATAATATATACTACTCGTATATATTACYTATGTAATTTCTTGTAGCTAATGGTCCCTGTCGCCGAGGCATTTGATATCAAAAAAATAATATAAAATAAAAAATTCTTGTTGGTTAATAAAATAAAATATAAAGACTTATATAATTTTAAATAACAATGAATATAAAATTAATTCATTAAAATTTAATTATTATTAGTGAAATGCTCAAATGCACGGTATTGGTAATATTGCCACACTAATGACTAATCAGTATTCGGTATAAACTATAAATATTTGGATTTTGGATTGAAAATGTATTTCTCAGTTATCTAATCATTTGATTATTTATACAACCAGTCCAAGCAATGTAAAGTTGTAAATCATGAATCATACGAACAGTGGCGTAGCCAGGGGGAGGGGGCTAAGAAAGTTTTAGCCCCCCCGCCGCCATTGACCGTGTTTATTTTAGCTATTGTAGGCTATATCCAAGAAGGATGCAGTTAAAAGATTGGAGCCTGTAGGCATAATAAATAAATAAAAATGTTTATACATGTATACAATTTAAAAAAAAAAACATAAATAAAAGAAATATGTTATTTGTATTTTTTGAATTTTTTTGTGAGACTTAGCCCCCCCTCCATACAAAATTCCTGGCTACGCCACTGCATATGAATACTCGGTTATTTTTATTTTAATTGGCTACTAATCATTCGATTATTCGATTTTTCTTTTTTTATTAGGTAATAATCATTCGATTATTCCCATCASTAGGTTGCTTAGCTTTGATTACAGCTAGAGTGGTTCTTTTACGTCGTTCACCACTGTTTCATGTTTGTCAAATCGCGTAATAAATTAAATCTATCATGCTAAATCACTAAAGGGATTTTAAAAACAATGGTACAGAATTTGTATGACCGAAGGGGCTAAGATATATGTATAAAAACTCATGGTGGCCCGGGAGGGGGGGGGGCTGGCATGACCTTTCGCTAGCTCYCGACATACGCAATTTGAAATTTTTTTTACCAATGTCTCACCTTCTATCCTCTATCTATATTCCTATCCTATGTTTGTACGCGCGATGTAAGCATTCGTAAGCTCTTTGTTTACATTTACCAATATTCAAATAAATCGATATGTACATTTTAGTAATATATATATTTAAACGGTATACATATAAATAATGTGTTTTTTAATTCAAATATTCAAAAATGTAATGACTAATTAAGTTCATACATTTATTACAAAGTTTATAGGTACATGTAAAGCGACTAGTCAGTAATAAAAATAAAGGTTCAATTTAAAATAGCTAAGCTTCTGTATAGTAAGCCCCACACGCACAAATGAAATTGAATACCTACTCGCGAGCACAATGAAACGTTTGATCAAACGTATTGCTGAATTAATCAGCGCTCAAAGTA